TTTAAAGAATCTAAAAACAGAATTTAATACAAATTTGATAGGAGGTCAGCAGGTGCAGTGCAGGTGTTTTGTTTTAGGATCAGATTTTAATGCTTTGAATCTTCCTACCAAGCTATTCTCGACTCTGTGGCACCATTAAAAACCAGGCAGCTCAAGGCTAAAACCAAGCCTTGGTTTAATGGCACCACTCGGGCTGTGAGGAGGGAGTGTTGTAGAGCTGAACGCAGATGGAAGAGGGACAAACTGCAGGTGTCTCTATCAGGATACAGTCAAGGAGGCTAAAAGGGAATACTTTTAATACAAGATAATTTCCTCCAACAGTCATAATCCACGTGTGTTATTTAACTCCATCAACTTAGTTTTAAATGCTCCACAAAGTGGCTGTTTGGAGGCCTCTCATAAACTATCTAATGATTTTGTGTTGGGTTTTTTTTTTAGCTACACGGGCTCTCATCTCTGCCCCTGAATCTAACCCCTCTGTCTCGATCCCTTGCTCTGCTGTTTTTGACCAGTTTGAGCCTGTAACTCTTTCTTTTTTAGAGGATGTGGTTGGTCATCTAGGCCCTCTTTTTCTCCAAATGATCCTGTCCCTCGACAATTTTTTAAAAAGATTTTGCCTCACACAGGCTGTTCTTACTATTATAAACAGCCGTTTAATGTCTGGTGTAGTCCCTGCTTATTTTAAGCAGGAAGTAGTACAACTCCTTCTTAAGAAACCCGGATTACTGTAATGAACTGTATTTCATAGTAAGTCTGTGTCTTCTCTTTCGTCTGCAGCTGGTTCAAAATGCTGCTGCACAACTTTTAACCCAGAATTCGCAAAAGAGAGCACATAACTCCCATTCTGGCTTCACTCTATTGGCTGCCTGCCTTTAATCTAATGTGCTGATTTATTATTTTAATTTAATTCTAATTAGTATTTTATATTTTTTAAGTTATTCAATGTATTGTTTTTTTGGCATGTCAAGTGTACGGCACTTTGTTTTCAGCTGGGAGTTGTCTGAAAGTGCTATATAAATAAATTGCTTGCTTATAGAACAATAAAGTGTTGTTAAATTGTTTGCTGACAACAGGAAAAACTTAGCTCTGTGAACCTGACTGGCTCTCTGGCGGCTGGTCCCTCTGACTTCTCCCCTCCTGCTGCACATGAACCAGCTGACTGACCATATGACTCATTTTCTCATTCATGAAGCCAGAGTTCAGAGCAGACAGAAACATAAGAGCAGACATTGTAGCTATATCTTATTCAGTATTTGATTAAAATTACTTTTTTCTCCCCTCCTGTTTCTACAGTAAATATCATGTCAGCACTGATGCATCTTCATATTCCAGCTCCTCTGGATTAAATGGAAGCTCTACTCTTCATTTACCCGTTGCCACACGTTGCTATGGTGAATTCTGATACCAGGATTCACCATGGCAGGAAAACCTAAGTATAGAGAAAACCTATCCGTTTTTCTCAATATGTAAGTTGTGTAAAAAGATAAACTTACAGGAAATTTAACAAAATGTATTAAACTGAAAGACTAGAAGTTCAGTTTCAATAAAAGCAACTCATTCATCAACATCCATTAATGACATAATTGCATCATCTCTGGAAAATATGTGAAGTTGTGCATCTTTGGCTGTTTGGAACTCAGGAGACACCACATGATCTGTAAAGCATGCAAACTATCACATCAGGAAGAAAACCAGCCAATCAGGCAACAGCAGCCTCTTACATGCGTTTATAGTAAACAAACTCGGTGTGTGTGTTTCAGGTGATGTGGGTGTGCAATGTGTGCAGGAAGCAGCAGGAGTTTCTCACTCGGTCAGGGGACTTTTCTCCTGAAATGCTATCCATCAATTACAGCTTACACAGGGCTCCCCACCCACCTACACATGGGCCACTGGGTGCCACGGGGCCCTTGAGTAATGGTGCAGCAGAATGGTGGGTATTATTCATTGTTTATATTATTTATCATTTTTTGTTCCTGAGGCCATTTAACTGTCAGCTGTGCCTGCATGCTTCTCATTTAAATTTAAACTTTTAATTAGTGAGATTGTTTTTAATTAGAGAGTGACCTCCATCACACACACACACACACACACACACACACACACACACACACACACACACACACACACACACACGCACATATCCTGTAATCAAATTAACAGATTAATAA